CTATATGATGCGTGCTCAGTCACATGTCCTTATATATATATATATTCTAGGATGTCATGAGTTCTAAGTCTACATGCAATGCAATGCAGGCACACCAAACAGAAAACAGATGCTGTATGATGTAAAGTGCATGCTTATATCGTCGTCATCATAACATATACTTCCTGTACTTTTGATGCCATACTGCCACGCCATCATTTCTTTTCATGACAGATTTTCCATCATAACATTTCCATAGGCAGAATACTTTGATCATAAATAGCAGGATAATCATTAGGCACATGTAAGCAACAATTCACAACTTCATACCCTAGTTAATAGTCACATTAGGTAATACCACCTAACACATACCTGCGCGTCCACAATTAAATCAAACAGTACCGAGACAGTTCGCGTTCTTAATGTTTATACGCACCTAAATAAGATACAACGAGTCAGAATTAAATGCTATAATTTTTTTCTAGACGTTACGAAGCACTTTTATTTCCCTAGGCTTAATTCACATACGGTTAGCAGGGTCCTTTCCTAAACTAATTTTGACTTCAAATGGTTTCTTTCATTTTCTCATAACAACCAAAATCCAACATTTACCAAACATACCAATTCGGTTAACATTAAAAAGGTTCATGACATTTTATTTATAAATTCCACTTCCCTATTATTTTTGTGCTTCTAATTACAAGTGAGACAAGTTCAGAATCTGTTTCCTGTTATTACTACCATTTATCAACAAGTTTTCCATGCTCTCAATTTTATTAGGTAACCGGTTTTCCTTGCTCCTAATCTAGCTAAATTTTCTGACTCAAATTAAATTATCAATAAGTTACAGCGAACAGAATTCCAGGCCCCTTGTACAAGCAGGTTCGGTTTAGGCAGAACTAAGTGTTCTTAATTTGCTTCATTACACAATCCTTACTACAAGGCTCAAGGGTGCGCTAAAGTAAGCTAATGAGCTTGCTGGAATTTTAATTACAACGCATGCAAGGCTTGATGCTTCACACTAATTCACTAAACAATCTAACAATGTTAAAATGGGAGTCATTTGCACACTCCAAGGCCAATCTCTTAAGCTAGTCCGCACCAAGGTCCCAACACAACAGAAAAGTGAATCGAACGGAAACATATAACCTCCTAAACTACACATAAAACCGAACAGAAAGGTGAAGGTATAACAGGACATAATTTTATCTTTTCAATATTGCATGCCATGACCAAAACAGTGAGGGAAAGGACTGAGAGTTCGAGGTTGTTTACCTACTCGTATGCACACCGTTAGCCCCCTATGAACAAAGAACAACCTTACACCTTTTTGATGCCTCAAGAAGACGATTCCAACGGCATGCAAGGGGCAACCAGCTCACACACAGCTGAGACAAACGCGTGCAGTGAGGATTCAGACTGATTTGATCTAAGCAAGGGAGAACGGAGAGTGAACGAAGTTTTCCTCACCTCCCAAGGTTGTTATTCGGTTGGACCGGCGGAACAAAAGATGATTGTGAATTCATGACTGACTCCGCATGCAAGGTGAAGTTTTCATCAGTGGAAAGGAACAAGGAACAACCGAAGATGCTTCACCTCTCACATGTCTTTGACCGACATGTGAAGAAGGAAATTAGGAGCTGTATGGTGGTCCTTTCTTTGGTGCAACTCACGGTCTTTGGAGGGGAAAAGAAGGAAGAACATGGGGACTTTCATTTCTTCATCTTGATGGTCCACGGCTAGAGAAGGAAGGAGGGTGAGATTCAAGATAAAACTCTGCATGTAGCAGAATCTCCAACAAGGCGAAGATGATAGGGAGGAATAAGGAGATAATACAATGATACAGCCTCTTGTTTGAGCACACAGCCGAATCGTGAATCAGAGGAAGGACAGGCCAAAAAAAATTTTGTTTCATTTTCATAGGATGTGATCATCTTGTATTGTCCTTCACATGGCGCTGATGGAGGAGAAATGATGGAGTTGGGGGCTGTTTGACATACTAGAACAAGTCAGATTTTTAATTGGTTTTTTCCCTACACATGCGCACAGCAAAAGAGGGAAGAGGTGGGATTTTCGTCCAATGGGGTTTCATGCAAGCTGATAGCGTTTCTTTTCATTGGGCATAGCTTACAAAGCTGATTTGCTTTAGTGTAAGGAGGAGCTCAATCAGGATTTTGTTCTCACCCTATGCGTACAACAAGAGGGAAGTGGTGAGGGAGTGTGGTGTGCTTCACTAACCAATGAGAGTACATGCATGTAGGTTGGACCATTAGAGACCACACATTCAGATTTCTAAGATAACTAAAGGATGATTTTAAAAGAGACTTAGGGCTGATCATAAAACCCCCTCCCCACCAAGGACTTGGGCCGTGGCCCTTAAAGAATTTAAACCCAATAATTTGCCTAAGCCGTATTAATTCATGAAAGTATAAGTTGTGACTAGAATTTTTTATAAGAGATGCTTAAGAGTAATCCTATCCTATACACGCTTAGAATTTCAATTCATGGTATGCATACACATCTATCATGGCATTTTAAATAAACTCCTAAGGATCACCCATCTTATGTACTAGAATTTAAGTTTCGAAAATACACAAGGTTATTCCTAATAATTTCCATTAGAGTAATTTTCCTAATTAAATTAATTCCACTCTAACATAAATTTAATTCAAGCATGTTTCACATTCTAGATTATAATTTATATAGGCTTCTAATTATGCGAGATGTTACAGATAAACCAATAATTAGCACTCTATCCTCGTGGGAACGATAATTTAGGCATTAATACTCCATTTATTACTTGATGCGTGCACTTGCGCACTTAGGTTGGAACTAAGGGACGAATCTGTGTTCTGCAAGAACAGAGGAACTTCCCCTATCAGAACTTATATTTTTCTATCATCAGCAAACCACCCAACATGTATTCCATCTTTTTTTTTCTTTTTTCTTTTTTTGAGTTGATGTGGTTCAAAACCCTCCCTAGATCGGAGAGCTCTGATACCAATTGATAGGAACCATCAACTTCATTTACAAGAACAGAATCGTAGCACAATTTATGAAATACTAATGTGGACAGTATATTAAGAGCAACTGAGCAGTGTTCATCTATTACAATAGTGGAGACAATATAATCCTAATTACAGTGACAATAAATGGAAGAACAATAACAACAATTGAAACTAAACAATAACAAAGATATTCCTGAGCAATTCGAGAGGCTCATGGGTCTCTCCCAATATCCAAAAGGATCCCAATACTTCCCAAAAGATGATCCACTCATGCTTTCCATTCCTCCCTCTTATACAGCTAACTTTCCCTCCCATTTTCAGTTGCACATTCCTTCTAGATCCTTCCCCTTCTAACAACCCATTAACCAACTGATTTGCTTGGGCCTGGGACGTACGGGGGCTTGTTCATTCTATATTGGTCATTTCTCTATGTTTTGAAACATTTGGTAAAAGCATTGAGCTTTTACGGATATTCAGCACATCATTCTTGTTTGATTCTATTAATAGATTAGTAATTGTGAATATTACGATAGAATATAGTTATGTTTTAGGACCTCATGTTATTACTGCTGTAATTTCCCATATAATTTGGATGGGTTGAGATCACAGTTATATTGTGATATGAATCGTTTGAAATCCATGGCAAATTACGATTGAGCAAATATAGATTATGGCTTTATGAATTTGGCCTAGTATCAATTAGGCTTAATGGATAGTTCTGGTAGGATTTGATATCCTTTTTGGTTCTATTGTAAGCGTTAAGAGAGAGGAAAACGAAAGATATAAGAAGTGATCCGCGTGCTTTAGATGAGCATTGGAAGCAGTATTATATAACTGAGTAAAAGAGGATATACATAAAAATTACATGATGTGGGACTTTTTCTCATACACTAGACTACTCTATATATAATACTTTCAATAGTAAGAGTGAAATCTCATTTTTCCATTTAATAAGAAGAGAGGGTTATTTTAAATCTACTAAAGCTGTAAGATTTGCTGAACATCAGTGCTGTAGCATTTTGTGATTCTTTTCTTGCGTTTAGGTGAACTGTGATTATAAGGAAGCATACCTGTCTAGTGCAGTATAGGAAGAAAATTCTTAGTGAAACAACAACGTGAAAATTATCATTTTTTTAATTTGGAGATGAAGAGAGCATATGGGATGAAAAGGCGGGACTCTTTATGCAGCGCCAGCAGCAACCAATGCATAAGGTCTCAGGCTAGTGAAATGTAGTTTAAGTTGTAGGGAATGGATGTTCTATCTTAAAAACATCACGTGACCTTATCATTTGAAAATTCTGTGTTTATCTCTTTCTTGCATGTGAAATTTTGATATGGCAAGGTGATATTGAAGAGAATCAATTGTCGAAGTTATAAGGCTTGTACAAATACTTGCATGCAGAACATTGCAACTACAAATGCATACATGACTCGAACCAAAGTTAACATGTAACTGCAACGGTTAAGTCTATCGCAGATTTAAAAATAACTTCAAGGGTACAAGAGAAAAAACGAGAGGTGTACTTATTTTGAATTATTTGAATATTGTCGTGGCTACCATTGTAGGACCCACAAGCTCTAGAAGATGCGAGCAAAGGTGGTTGTGCATTCAAATGAGTTAATAGTTAAACAAGCTTTATCCACCAAGGAAGTTGTATCCTAACTAAGCATCGCCACTCTCACGTACACCCTACCTATCTAGGTAGCACCGACTCGACACGCGACACGTGATACGTGACACGTGACACGACACGACACTTCGACATGTCAATCCTAAAAAATTATGAATTTCGACACGTTGGGACACGTTTTAATATTAAATAATATTTTTAATTTATATAGTGTATATTTCATTTAATATTCAATAATTTAACAAAAAAATAAAACTAAACTAATAATATCCATCAATTTAACCAAAAAAAAATCATTTCCATAATACCATTATATTGATCTAAAGCAAAAATAATAGCATATCCATAGAAAAACATAAAATATGGAGATTACATAGTACCTTCATAGAGCATCTTCATCTAGAATAACATTTGACTCCATCTCTGGCTCATCAAGTGAAAGAGTAGCAACTTCAAGAATTCCAACATCTTCAAATGTATCTCCGGCAATGTCTCACATTCTATTATCCCCATGTGTATATTGTGAAGTCTTTCTTGATAAGAGCTGAAGGTTGCTATGTATATAAACTAAACCAAGTCTTCAGCACGTTTTGGAGTCATCTTATTCCTTCTTACAGAATGCACAAAAGAATAAGTACTCCAATTGTGTTCAACACATGATGAAGAAAAAGGTTGTGCAACAAGTCGCAATGCTATCTTTTGAAGCATAGGTGAACAAGCACCATGAAGCACCCACCAAGCTTTGGGCTCCATCGAATATCGATTTTGCATGGCATCATAATCTCTAAAACCCCCCACTCATACTAGCAAAGTCCACATACTTCAAATTTATTTTATTTCGGTCCTCCAAGTTAGGAAAATATCTCTTTAAGCATTTTTGTCTTTCTTGATTAATCTCTAAATCCTTGTGTGGAGGAACTCGACTAGAATCTTCATTAAGCCATTGTTCACTATAGTATCTGAAAGGAAAAAAAGAAAAACAATTAAACAAATTATATCAAATAAGAGAAATATTAAATTCATTCATATTTAAAAGCTTACTTGGGATTCAAAGCATGTGCCAAACAATGAAATGGAGTTGAATTCTTGGTCCAACGATCCACAAGAATGCCATCCACCACCTCATAAAAAGTTGAGGTCTCATCCATCCTCTTCAATTCATGAAAGTATATAGCTTTCTTCACTTTCTCAATCATCTCATCCCACATATCATAAATCAAATGAAGACAAGGTTTATCAGTGTCACAAATCCTGATCATATTATAAATAGGAGCAGTGAAAGCAAGTATATAATCAATTGAATCCCACCAAAGATCATCCAATGTCTTATCTTCAACCATTCTTGCCCGCCCTAGATTATCATCTTTATACAAACTCCATTTTTCACTGATTACCATATTTTGGAGACCACATTTTATCAATTTGAACCTCTTTAGCATCACAATCATGGAAGCAAAGCGGGTTTCAGCTATAGAAAGCAACTTCAATCCCACAAACTCATTAAACATTGACAGTCTCATAGAATGATTCATTATGAAGTACTTTATTGCAGAAACATCTCCAACAATATTGAAATCCAACTACATTCCTCATATGCTATTTGATTATTCTCCACATTTTTTGCAGCACAAATATTTTTCACAACTAAATTCAGTGTGTGAACAACACATGGTGTCCAAGAAATAGATGGAAATTCTTGCTCAATAAGATGCCCTGCTCCCTTACAATTGCAGTATTATTCGTGATTACTTGAACCACTTTTTCATGCCCAACTTCTTGAATTACTTCTTTTAACAACATGAAAATAAAATGGCTATCCTTAGTCTCTCCTGAACAATCAACTGATTTCAAAAACATAGCTTCACCATCAGATACTGCCATGAAATTAATAAGTGGCCTCCTTTGTGAATCACTCCATCCATGACTCACAATACTAACACCCTTGTCTTTCCACCCAGCTCGAATAGGTGCACATAACCTATCAATATTTTCCTTCTCTTTCTGCAAAAGAGTGGTTCGCATGGAGTTATATCCTGGTGGCAAATAACCTCCAATATTATTATCTGCAGCAAAAGTGAAGGCTGCTTGAAAGTATGGGTTCCTTGCTAAAGTGAATGGCAATCCTGCTGAATAAAACATCCTAGCAATCAAGTGGTTCAATTCTTCTTGCGCCCCAACATTGAATGCCCTCTCAATAGGATTTCTACATGAACTTCCACCCTCACTTCGACTTCTTCTTTTTTTTCGAGTTTGATTCTACGGAAAAACTAGAAGGCGGTAAAGGCACATTTTTAGGTGCATTACTCTTCAATCTGTCACTAGTTTCTTGTTCTAATTTCTCCATCTCTAGCAAGTCTTTTGTCTGCACATGTAAACATTTTGCGATTCCTTTACCTGCTATTTTAAGCAAATGAGCCCTTATTCTAGTATACGAACTTTTAAAATCCTTTTCACAAAATTGCATTTCCAAGATAGATTCCCTCTTGTTTCTGTTGTGGTGCCTACTTTGGTAACATATTTCCATAATGGCTTCCTTAGAAATTCATCATCTCCACTACTTGCAATACTTGAATCCATTCTAAAAAAATAAAATTAAACACTATGAACAAAATAATTACTTATGCAAATATAGAACAATTTAATTAAAATAGTAGCATAAAGAAATTAAATTAAAATAATTCCATTAACAAACCAATTTGTTTACTGATATATTTCTTTCAATATCAAATAAAGAAATATATATTTCGTTTATTTTTATCACTCACACGACATACCTATTAAATATTATTTGTGACAAACTGACAATGGAAGGTGACATTTTCTTCTCTTGATGCATATACGCTCATCCATTCGACACAAAAGAAAAAGGCAATGGCTATGATTGCTCGAAATACAAGAAGAAATTCTGATAAATGTCAGTTCTTACCCAAGTATTAATCCAAACTTAACACTTATTTTCCAAACAATATTATTCATACATTTTGTCATTTTGATACAATCGGTCTAAAATAAATAAACAAAAAAAGAGATAAAATATTAAGGTGCCTTATAAGGTAAAATTAGAAGTTATTTAGTAGGCAATAATCTGGACAAAGTAGAAATTTCAAACCAGTAAAACAAAAGAGAGAAAGAAAAAATAACCAATATAATTAATAAACCAATAACTTATTAGTTAATTAAAAAAAAAGTAATGGAAAAAACAAAACACCATCGCTATTTTAACAGTAAATCGAACGAGACTATAACCAAAAAATATATATATTTCAAGCCAATGTTCTCGAAGAGACCACAGGCCAGCGACTCAACGAGAGAGGGAAAGAGACCACAGCGACTCAGCGAGAGAGGGAAAGAGACCAGTTACCACATCGATGTCGAGAGAGAAAGAGGAGAAATAAAATAATGAGAAAGAGGAGAGGAGAGACCAGACGATAAGGAAAGAGAGACGAAAGAGGCAGGCAGACACATTTTTTATGAGTGCAGAGAGAGATCAGAGAACTTAGGTTTGCATTTTTTACGTTTTCAAATTAGTATTATGTTTTTATAAAATTTTATTTGTTTTTTAATAATATTTAATTTTATTAATATATTTAATTTTTCTAAAACATATATATATTTTTTAAATTATGTTTTTACGAAAATGCCATTTGACCGTGTCAGACACGGTCAAATTCACGTGTCGGAATGGTCAACGTGTCGAAAAAGTTGACCGCGTGTCCGACACCGTGTCAGAGCGTGTCGGCATGTCGGATCGTGTCGGACACGACTCTCCCTGGTTTTACAAGTGTCTGTGCTTCCTTGCTACCTATACATAGAGGGTTACACATAACACGATCACATTTATGAGCCCTAACCAATCACTACCATTGTACACACACCTCATTCTTTGGCTTCAAGCTATGATACACCGACACATCAAAAAATATGACGTGTCGTATCCGACACTTTCCGACACTCCCACACGTATTGCAGAAACTCAAAAAAGGGTTCAAAGGGTTGCGTTACTTGTTTAGTTCTAACTATTAGATTCGTCAGATTACGATTACTATTTTATTGGGTTTAATATAAATATTTGTAATATCTTATGTTTTTTTTGCAAAATTTACTGTTATTATAAGTTTAGCATCATTTTTTTGTTAAATATTGAATATTAAATATAACATACACTATATAAATTAAAAATTTATTTAATATCAAAACGTGTTCTAACGAAACGAAATCTAATATTTTTTAGAATTAACGTTTCGAAGTGTCGCATCATATCGTGTCCCATGTCGATATCAGTGCAACATACTGCATACAAGGCCCAATTTGGTGAGTTTCTTGAAAAAAAGGACATATTAACCTTAGTTCCATGAAAAATATATATTGACAAATATAGGAATGCGTAGCTTCTAAGATAATACGAATAGCCAGCATTAACTTGGACCTTGAAGCATGCAAGTTTTATGTAAACCATTTTTCTACAGGCAGAGGTAGACAACGTCCAAGTGGGCCAAACTAATATCTCATGGCTAGTGAAAATCATGGTTGATTTATGGGTTATTAGGTATTATTGTATATAGTTTGATGAGTGTTTCTTTGGTGCATCGATGTATGGTGCATCTATCCCAAAAAAGAAAAAAATAGGATTTGATGGGCAATTCATGAAAAAATATGAATTAAATGGGAAGAAAAATTTCTCATTTTGAAAAAAAGATGTACCCAATTGGGTATATCTGATGTACTGAAGAAATTTCCATAGTTTGATAATAGGTCAGACAAATTAAGCAGTTTAATTTTAGTTAAGTTTTTGTTAAAAGTAGTTAACCAATTTTGTAATTGTACATATGGCTCATTGTACAGATTTTACACCATCAAGTCTGTATATAAGCCACTCATCTAAGTCAATATAGTCATAATTTCAAATTTTCCCAAATCATAGTTTAATATGGACCTTCAAGAAGGGGTTGGGTTTCCTAGGCTATAATGTAGACATTCCTTGAGCTGTTCAGGTCAAAGTTCTGGATAATCTTTACAATGGCTTTGGCTTTATTCTGGGAGGAAATCCAAAGATGAAAACTATAACACATCGTATTTCTTAAACGTATAATTATATATGCAAATGTGGATTAAAGTGTAGGATTAATGAAAAATCTAAAATTAGGGTCAAAATACAAAAGAAGGGTAAAATGATAAATTGCCAAACATGTAACCCTAGAAAAGGAAAATTGAGTAGGAGGTCTCAAATGGCTAAACTAACCCTGGAAATGCATTCAGAACGAAAAATTGAGTGGTTAGGCAAGTTTCTGGAATTTTGCCAAACTACTGCGGTACAGTTGCACCGTAAAGCGTGCCGAGTGAATTTTGAGCTCTAGGTTTGAAAATAGGTTATGGATGGTACAAAGGACTAGAAAATATGATTTCTGGTGAAAAATGATGGAAATTAGAGTTTTTGGGGAAGCGTACCCACAACGCCCATAACAGCTTAAAACTGTGATTTCTCTAAATGATCAGAAAACTCTGGATTCATCTGATCACGGACAATTAAAGGACAATGGTTAATGTTAAAAATTAGAGTTTCTAAATAGTTTATGAAATTATGGACGTTTAGTGGAATAGGCGGGAGATTTGAATTAATTTGAATCGTGTGAGGTGGCGGTGGGACCTACCTCACTTAAGTCATAAGATGACAACTAAGCTAAGGCTACTATTCATCATCCCTTTCGCTTCTCTCTCTCTTGAAAATGTGCCCACCCTTGGATTGCAAGTTCTTGGTTGAAATTTGTTTCCCTCCAAACTCACTTATTTCTCACTCAAATCCAAGAAAGTTTGTCATCAAACTTCAAGTAAACGATCATCCGAACACAACCGTACCATCCACAACCCTTGAAACACACTAAATTTGGAGAAATTGACCATATACAATAGCGACCAAGTGAAGGTTTTTGGTGTTCTCGGAGTTGATTGATCCTCCAATGCTTTGGTATATTGTGGAGGAGTCCTAGGTTTGCTTGTGAGTAAGTTTCCACACTTTTGATTGGTTGAATTGATGGATCCAAATTCATGAACCCTAGAGCTTGCATGCTTGATTGATGTAGTTAGAGAGCTCGAATTGAAATTGTATATTAGATAAAAGTGGCTTAGATGATGTTTTAGAGTGTTAGAAACAATAAAAATTATTGATGAATTTGGTTGATAACTTAGGCAATTTTGAGTTGGGATTTCATGACTTTGTGAAATGACTTGGTGGTATGATTGTGTAATTGAGTTGTGTAGTGTTTGTACGAGTTAATTATAGGATAGTAAGATGTGTGGAAGTGTTAAATTGGATTGAATACCCTTTGGTTGGTGAGCATGAACAATTCGGCCTATAGAGGGCATGTATGGTTTGAGGATGTAAAAATTATGTAATTGATGTGGTGTGGTGGTAAATGGTGTTTCAATAAGTTGTATGTTGGTGTGGTGAGGTGAAATTAGAAGGAAAAATATTGGATGATGTGTGAGTGTGCATTCGCCCTATGAGAGAGGAATTAGAAAGGATGTTACTAGCATGGTTTTAAATTGAATGAGGGACTTGAATTAGTGTATGGTAAGTCCAGGAAACCATGGGAATTATGAAATAAAATTAAGAAAATTGTTTGGCAATTCTTGGCCAAATGGTCGAACCTATGCATGTGTGGAGGGTGGTTTTTGGTGCTTTTTAATCTTGATGATTGAACCTTGTATTGATGATCCTTGTGTGATCATTGTAGGTTGCCTCTCACGGAAGGGAACTTGGAGCTTTGAGCTTGGTGGGTTGCTTTTGGTCCTTGACCAAAGGAATTTTGACGTTTCTTGTGGTACCAAGCTCGGTGACAGATTAAATTGGAACTGTCAAGTGAATGAGATTAATCAGGTAATCCCTTGGTACTGGGATTTAATCCCCGTATTTGTTACACCATGCTCCTTGAGGGTAGTTGTTGGAGGTGTATGTTGGTAATGTAGTATAACATGTTCATGCATTATTGTATGTATAGTGGTACATAGGATGTACCGTGTCTTTGGCCAGTAGATTGTTGCCTTCAGGCATTACAGACTTCCACTGGATAAGTCTCCATGAGGGAGTTTCAGTTGACCTGAGGTCATGATGTGTCATCCGTTGAAGTGTAAATTAGGAAAGT